AGTGCGCGCAGCCCCCTATAATAATGTGGAGCCAACGAATCGTCCATGCCGTACAATCCATTCCCAGTCGTACTGACCAAACTGGTGCACGCAGCTCTATAAAAACGTGCAGAGGGAAAGAATCGTCCGTACCGTACCATTCGTTCCCAGCCGTACTGTCCAAACCAGTGCGTAAGGCCCCCTAAAAAGTACGGAGGAAACGAATCGTCCGTATCGTCCGTTTCCATCCATACTGAACAAACCAGTGCGCGTAGCATTCTGAAAAAGTGGGTAACGAACGAATCATCCGTACCGTCCTGCTTTGGTGTGCAGTAAGCTTCATTGAAGTGGTTGACAATGATTGACATACATTAATTATGTTCACAAAATTTGAATTTAAATTTCTTGTAAGTAAGCTATAAACGTTCATAAAGAATTTGCAATCATGCTCATGTCCAAATCTCTCCCTATTTATTTTGTGAATCAAAAATATGGCGTCTTATCGAATTATTCTCCACTTGGCACAACATTTTCCAAAACACATTGTTTTCGTCCTTCACTGACCAAACCAATGCGCAGAGCCTCTTGAAAATCCAGAAAAGACATACCGTCCGCACCGTCCTAACCGTACCGTCCCGATCCAGTGCGCGCTACGCTTCAATAATTAATCAATCCTGAACTTTACATACATTGAAGTTTCCAGTGGGTCACCCAATCACTAACTCTTTTCAGTTTCGAGTGAATTAATACCATTTTGTTGACGAACTATAGACCAATATAAGTGGCGATCAAGCTATCGCCTACTTGCAATTGGTTCTCAACCTACTAACCCCACTGTACAATGCACAATGTCAGACATTATTTTTCTAGTCTTATTGAACAATTTTGAAAAAGTACAACATAAACAAAGGCCCCAATAAACTTGCGCTAGTATAAAGTCAGCATAAGGAGTCGCCTGTCTTTAGAAAAAGATGTTTCTTCTTCTGGTTGGGAGACGGCTCTAGATCAGCCTCGACCCAAGAAGGGCGAACAATATTCCACATACATATAGATCAATTCATTCGGTCGGTAGCCAAGCGGTTCGGCGTGGGTGCTTTGTTCACTCACTCGAATTGACTGCCGTGTTGGTCGGTGGTTCAAGCCCTAGTCTGAACGATCGATCTTCACTTGCTATCGTCCAACCCGTGTTAGGAATCACACGTTAAAAGGTAAAACCTCGTTAATCCTTAGCTCGCACAAGTTTCGACTTCTGAGGGCTGTCGTTCGTAAGGGTGCGACAGCTGGTTAACGGAAAAACAGATTTTAAACAGACAGATCTTGTCTTTGGCGACTTGAGGCATTTCTGATGATTGAGAAAAATGCTTGTTTTGGACTGATGTAGCAGCCAAATTTTGATACGAGTAATAAAGTCTTCATTATTCTAAAACAGGGTCTACAAAAATGGCCGCATTGGTAGTAAAGGTTAAAGAGATGTCATTTTATTTAACGAATCCTCTGTAGTGTCGTCATAATTTCTAATTGATATTCCCTGCAGAATCGCAGAATCGACCGCGATCTAAGAATCTACAGAACGTAATAAATGACCTTGAACAGCAGGGAAATCGAATAGTGGGCCACGAATATAGTTGGATATGTTGAAATTTGAAGTAGATGATAGAATAATTTTGCTGTATACTCACAATCATAAAAAAAGAATCTGAATTATAATAACATTATATATCTATGTTATAGCAAAGATTTAAGATATATCAATTCAAAAGTTTCTAGCAACTTCTTAATAATAATTACATACCTTTGGCGAGTTTTATCTTTGATGAATATTTGGAACCGAACTCGGTCATAAATTGAAAGGGATATATTTTTAGGAGAGATTCTTCTTGTGATAAAAAGTGTTTGGCATTTCTTCGCCATTTTCAAATTAAACAAACAAAACACTGCAATATTGTCGTCATTTCGATAAATGCGGCTTTTCTCTATTATCTACGACAGTCAATTCAAATCTAAGAACAACTCAGCGGCTCGAAGAAGATAATGTGATGAATTCATGAAACTTGGCAGAAACCTATTTGGAAATATTCACCAAAACACCAGATGAAAGAAATACGTAGGGCAGAAAAAAACTTTCAAGTAATCTTCAGCAAGATGGAGCTCCTCGTTACAGTGTGTACTTCTAAAGGTTGGATTTCGTTGTAATTAGATTGGAAGAAGAGACTATAGAGTTGCCAGCATTATCACCGCATTTATTTTCACTTGATTACTTTTGAGAGAACATTTGCATGAAATGCATACCAATGAATCCTCACGTCAAGACGTAGGTAGATATCAATTTGAAGTTCTCCTGGATGTATTTATTTATTTTTAATTTGGGATAGAATCAGGTGAAGATCCAATGAGGTTCCTACTGACAAATTTTACAATACAAAAAACATTTGGTGTCCTAACAATCAGTGAAGATGTAGAACAAATACCTGAATACATGTTCACCTGCTGGTGATTATAAAATACAAATGCATATTTGGAATACCAATATTTTTAATCGTGGTTTTACAAAATTGAAACACTTTGAAAAAGCAACTTCATTCCATCCAAACACACGGCAATGGGTCTCTAAAAAACCAATTTATGAAAAAATCGCAAATACAGCTGGAATGAGAGATAAATAAATCTCAACATTGAAATTTCAACGTCTCCAAAAGTTTGTCAACCTTCACTTTTTGATGTCAAGTAAAATTTAACTTGGATGAATGTTTTCCATGTGTGCATAGAAATCGAAAAAAGCAGTTTTTATTAAATTGTTCAAGAGTGACAAGGACATTTTTCATTACATTTTGAAAGAGAAAAAATTGAAGCAATATATTTTCCAAAATAATCACTCAGTATTCTCAAATTGGACGTACAAAAATGAAATATGTTTCAAGGCAAATATCGAAAAATGAAATACCTCTCCCTAGTCCGAAATCTACTTTGACAAAGGAGTCTCTGATTTATGAAAGCAAAAAAATATATAATCACGTACCCTCCGAAATTGCAAATGGGAAAATTGATTACAAATTCAGAAAAATAATGATAGAAACTCTACTAAAAAAAAACATTCTATAATCTTCAGGAATTTTATTTTAGATATGATTTTCTTCTCAGAATGTATTATTCATATTTTATTTGCTTTTTTGATTACTTTTCATGTGATTTTTTTATATGCCCACTCATTTTATCTATATTTGACATATGTTTATTTTTTAACTGATTAGTACTTATAAGATTAATCTACTTTTGTAAATCTTTTGTATATTTCAAGAAAGTACTCTTTAATATTTTTTTCCTAACATGCTTTGTCAATAAGAACTTGTTTTCTTGGACAACGAAGTATATTTCTCTCTCTCTCTCTCTATTCAATTGAAGGAGGGCTATACATGTCATTTTTTAGCTGATCTCAATATTGCTATTTTGAAAACGGTAAGACCTTCAATGTCGGTTGAATTGACAAAGAGTTTTTTATTTTGGGGAACTAGAATAATCTCTTTTTACTAGAATTGTTGAATTTTGCTTTTTGACTCTACCTCCTCCAGAGAAACTTTCAATACTGTTTCATTAGGTTCATTAGATTCCATAATCAACTAAATTTTTTCAATGCTATCTCTATTGTAATGCATACTTGAATTTGTTATTACAATGGCTACACTAAAGGCCAGTATTCAAATTATAAAGTTTATGATGGAATGTAATGAAAGAAAAGTCACATTGCAGATTGGTTTACATCAGATTATAACAAATATGAAACAGTATTAATAGTTCCTCTGTCTTTTTTGGTGAATTTGATGCGTAGATTACGAATCCGAAAGATAAAAGCGACGCTCTCCCTTATTTACAAAGTTACGGTCCTTCAAAGTTCAGAAAAGGGCAACTTTTCAGCCTTCTTTTTCACAAGATAAACTATTTAAAAACACAAGCATTTATTTACTAGGTCACCTCTACACCTTATTCCTTCTTAATTGAAACTTTTCAATTCAACAATCAACATTTTTCTTATAAAAAACTTAATTCAAAAACGTATGCTTGCATCAGTCGTACCAACTATGCCATTAACCTCAAAAACGTAAAATACCGAAGCAGTACCTTACATTATTTAACATTTTTATTGGAAAAATGTTGATTTTTGAAGTGAAAAGTGTCAAAGAAGGAGGATAAGGTGTAAAGGTATCCTAGTAAATAAATGTTTGTGTTTTTAAATAGTTTATCTTGTGAGAAAGAAGGCTGAAAACTTGCCCTTTTCTAAACTTTGAAGGGCCGTAACTTTGTAAATAAGCGAGAGCGCCGCTTTTTTCTTTCGGATTCGTAATCTACGCATCAAAATTTGTAAGTACACTCAAAAATTTCCTCAAAATCGCGGGGTGTTCTCAAAACGAATATTTACCCAAAGGAATTCCATTAATTTCTCATGATTATAATTAGTTGAGTTAGCCACAGCTTTATTATTGACTTTGGTCAATTGCAACATTTCAGCAAAGGCTCGAATTTGACAACTAACATAATTTTGTTTTTATGAAGCGTGGCAGAATATTCACAAAACACTATGGAACCAGCCACAAATAAATGATTAGATTTACCACGCAATTTATTTCATAAACGCACGTAGGTAGGCGTGTTGAAATTCACCAAAACCCAAAAATCAGCCGTTACCTTGAGTTTTGCCATCTAAAAGAATAATAAACATTGCTATTGTACATACGTTGCACATGCAATTGTTAGAAAACGGTGTTGAGCAACTATGCAGTGAATCCACAAAAGTGCCGAGTAAATTCGATACGTATTTGAAACTATTAAAACGGTGTAAAAATAAATCAACGCGTTTGCAGATTTGTTTTCAACGTCGCGTCGGCCAAAACTGCAAGACAAATGAATCCAACCATGCAACCGAATATAGCGACTAACCGGAAACGAATCGACACAACCAAAAAGACAACAATCAACCGTATAATCCTGCGACGACGTATGAAATGCGTAAATGGAAAAAATGCAAGTACCTTTCTGTCATTGATTATGCAATGCGTTTGAAAAAACGCACTTCGAAAACACAGTACACTGGTCGGCGGTGCAGCTTGGACACTGATTCGCAAAAGACGTCGTCGCGAAATTTGAAAGACCGCATGAAGGAACCACCGAAATAACGGTATCAGGCTGCGCGTAGGTACCCGGAACTACAATATGGCCGATCACTATCACTCCGTTGCACGTGTCGGCTTTGAACACAAGAGGATGATTACTGTTTGCAAAGTAAAAGTATATTATAGTGGGTGGCTGTGCTCTACCACGATACCTGCGTGCCGTGACGTCGATCGTCGACTGTCTGAGCGGCTAACGCGATGTCAGTTGCTGGTAATGTCGGGCCGGTTCGAGAGGAATCGCCCCCGCAAAGCCCCACCGAAAACGTGTGAATGCGGCGCCCGAAGGCGATGCATATCGTCTCGACGTGCATTCTCTTCTTCCACTGCCCCCGAAATCTGCAATCCGACGATGGATCTTCTGCAGTCGGGCTCTACTTCCTTCTTCCGTCTTTCGCCAGCCACTATTTGCTCCCTTCGATGGCGGCCCAGCTGGTTAATGGCCCTAGGCGGGCGGCCTTTGGAGAGGCTCACGACGAATTTGACTTTGGAAAATGAGGGATTGGACTTCTTCGTCTCATAACTAAAAGTGTTTGCTGCAATCGATATTGCACCGCATTTCAAAAGGGACAAAGGATGTAGGTACCCACCGTCCTACCAAGGAAGCAACGTTTGAAATTGTTTTTGAGTGAAATTATGAATTCTGTTAAATGTTTGTTGCAATCAATATTGCATCGCGTTTGAAAATAGACAAAGAATGTACCTACCAAGTAAGCAGTTTTTGAAATTAGGCTGATAACAGCAAAATTAACTAGGCGTTCATGTCTGAATGGCAACACTTCCGTGTTGATATGAAGATATATCAACGATCCAAGAGCGGTATGAAAGTAGCTATTTACGTTGGATTTGATTCGCTGAAAATGAGTTGAACTTCAAAACGAAAGGCAGCCACAGTCCGTCACGTTTTTCGGGGCCCCCATCCACAGAGGGTCCCGAAGGACCGACAATTTCTCTCACATTTAATATCAAAATATTATGATCGGGCGCATTACACTTTTCTAGTTGCACGAACGTCGATCATTTTCAAATTTATTCAAACCAATACATTTATATGGATAATTTTAGTGATTCGACCACCATTATAACTTATCATTTAAGTTTATTATCTTAACGTCTATTCTCAGGTTACTTGTTTGATTTTTTGTTCGATAATTTGAGAGTTTACAAAATATAATAGCTAATATTTCTGAACGCATCCTTTTTAATTTACTAAGCACACCATCTAACGGTCATCCATGCAAACCACTCCGATGCCAAAGTCATGCCGCCATAATTAAATGTCGACTTTGTCTATGGTTGGGGGAATCCCCGGATGATGTACTTTTAGTTGGACAGAAGTAACGTGATTTGTTTTTGTTTAATATAATTTGGGTAAGATTAATAAAAGTTATGATTTGTACGATCAAATATTATTTCATAATGTCGAAAAGAGCATATTTAAGTGGTTCACAAAAGAGAAAAAAAGTTATAGCTCAAAAAGAAATCACGGAAAAACTTCCTAAGCTCACTTCTTTTTTTAGATGGAAGAAACAAATAAGTTGGGGAATTCTTCATCATCATCACCTCAAGATAATACCTCTGAATATCACCAGGAAAAGGAGGTTATTAAGTGTGACGAAAATGACAAAAGCACATCAAATGCTGAACCCTCGACTTCGAGCAACAGTGAGTTATTAAATGCAAACTTGGATAGTGTACCTGTATCTCATTGTGTATCTGTATTTGTGTACTGTTACTGCTGTTACAAAATAATGTTACGCAAAATAATGCTAATTATCACAACACAACAAAGTTTTTGTTTCGGGGTTGAAATTAGATGATTTTAATGTATTTCCACGTGTTAAAACCGAAAGTGACCATAAAAATTATATATTAGCTCTTGTTTTCAAGATATAGTATCATTATATTATATATATGTATATTGAGTTTTCAACAAATGAAATATTTCATCACCAACAGTTGGTACACATGTTTGTTTACATAACACCCCTCTNGGTGTCCAGTCTAGAAGAAAATAAGTATGTAATTTACGTTCCATGTGGGGCACATTCGTTGAATTTAGTGCGAGTTCAAGCTGTTGAGTGTATTACTGAAACAGTAGCATTCTTTCAATTTGTACAACAATTGTACAATTTTTTCTCAGCTTCGACCAAACGATGGAAAATATTGACAGAGCATTCAGGTGTAAATAGAGTCTTGAAGTCTCTTTCAGAAACCAGATGGTCCGCACATGCCAATGCTATTGATGCTTTGCGAAATGGTTATTTAAATATTCATCAAGCATTGTCCTCCATTGCGAGTGACATCAGTCAACCAGGAGACCCTGGAATCGAAGCCCAAAGCCCAGCAAAAAAAATGGAAAAGGGCCCCGAATTATTGTGTGCCCAAGGGCCCCAGCATAGTCTAAGACGACCCTGGTCACTTGAAAACCTCCCGTGGAAGTATCTATAAGAGAGAGACAAATCTCCAACCTTTCTTTGATGTGCCAGACTATCAAGGTTGCAAATGATGTTCGTGTCTCCACTCAGGCGGATGACTCTTTTCTGGATGGAATCCAACAGCTTCAGGGTATGATCATCCCATTCAGCAAACTTTCCGCGGCTCAGATTGTTCCTTAACATTTATCGCTAATTCACTCAACACTGAAATGAGTTTGTTGTCAGAAGGTCCCAATGGAGACCTTACGGTGACTCTGTAAAGTTCTGGATTGGTTGTTAGGTATAGATCCAGAAGACTAGCATATTCTCCATCTTGGTCAGGAATCCTAGATGGCTCATATATAATCTAAGTAAGTCCACTGCTCATTGCAAAAGCCTCAGCTTCGCAACCTTATTCGTCGTTGAAATTTGAAAATTTGAGCCATTCGATATTGTAGACATTGAAGTCACCGACTATGGAAATTTCGACACTGGGAAAATTGATTTGCAAGTAAAGAGAATAGTGTTCTATATTGTGTATCGCTTGGTGGTCGATAAACGCAGCATATGGATTCAGTGATCTTCTGTGATATCATTTAAAACCACATAACATTAAAGTTTTGGGGTTCCAGCATTTCCTCTCGTTGACAGGAGAGATCGCTTAGGATAAAAAGAGAGTTGCCTCTTAGCAACTGCAGTTACCAAGCTATTTCCCTAGACATACTCATGGGTAAACAAACGCTTAGACGAATAAAGAAGAAAACAATAACAAATAGAGTACAAACAAATCGTTTCACAAAGAGGATGTATTTCCGATCTGCCACCCTTTGAAGATAGCTATTGTTTCCTAGCGGTATGAACGAATGAAATTAAAGCAGCATGTTTAAGTCCTTTTATGATGGCAGCGACAACATGACAGACTGCGCTAACTGTTGACCGACCTGCACGAAAACCAAATTGGTGTTTATCAAGAAGATTGCATTTTTCGAAGTAGGCACATAAACGGCTTTTTATAACCGTAACTTTGGTAACTTTTCCAGGGATACAGATTTCAGAAATGGGTGTGTAATTTTGAGGGTCTGAATTATCACCATTTTTTAAAATAGGCACCACTTCAGATAGCTTGAAGGCAGTGGCATATTGAGTAATTCCAAGAAAATCTTTCAATAGTTTGCTGTTGATATCGTAAGCAACACAGCTATTGGAACGACTTAAAGGAAGTCATGCACTCTCATCTTCAGCCTCCGTTACAGGTTCCAGAAGAAAATGAGTTTCCTAGAACTGGTAAGGAGTTTATAAGATATTGACCAAGAACCACCGAAAAATATCCAAATTGTGGACAACTGAACAACATTTCGTTCGGTATAGGTTTTGGTGAGTGCTTCAACAGCAAAAACAGCGTTGGACTCTTTAACCTGTCTTACAAAAAAGCAGTTTTTCCTTGGTGTTGGAAGGTCGCCGGAGTTGAATCAATTTTCCAATCAACAATAGACGATAAACAGTGAAACTGAAATCTCTGGCGTAGAATAAATCTGAATCAACCAGTTTCATCATTCACCAGAAATGCAGTACTCTCTTCGACACGCGTTCCACCAACTAAGTTGGCGTCTTCAGGGCATAGCTAGTACCACGAAGGTTATTAGCCAGGTGAGTAGTTGTGAAGTTTTCTTCCTTATACGAGGAATTGGCCAAATTTTGTATATGCGGTTTGTTACCTCGTTCACGGGCAGATGAAAGGAATCCGATTCTCAATTATGGGAAGTCATCAACTTCATGTTGATTGTAGGCACTACCTTGCATTAACGAGTGACCAAACAACCCGAAACCGGTCTGGAAGTGTGTTCCAATAATTGAAAATCTATTGCGGCAGTCGTATCGCCAACAGCATATGCAGGAATGACTTCAGTGAAGAATTCTGCACTGACACCTGTCGGATATAGTCCAACGCCCTTCGTGGTATTAGCCAGGGGAGTAGTTGTTTTCTGATAGGTGTCAGTCCATTAACGTACAGTGTAGGTAATTTGATACTCTCTATTCATATCTGAGGAGGTTACACTTTCACTTTTTATAGACATCTATGATTTTCTCGTGAAAGTTCCTGCAAATTTCGACAGAGTGATTCATAAAATGGGAAGAATCGTCCGTACCGTACCATTCGTTCTCAGCCGTACTGTCCAAACCAGTGCGTAAGGCCCCCTAAAAAATTACGGAGGATACGAATCGTACGTACCGTCCGTTTCCATCCATACTGAACAAACCAGTGCCCGTAGCTCTCTGAAAAAGTGCGGAGCAAATGAATCGTCCGTACCATATCGTCCGCTCCCTTTTGTACTGACGGAATTAGTACGCGCAGCCCCCTGAAATAGTGCGGAGCCAACGAATCATCCATACCGTACCATACATTCCCAGTCGTACCGACCAAACTGGTGCACGCAGCTCTATAAAAAGGTACAGAGGGAAAGAATCGTCTGTACCGTACCATTCGTTCCCAGCCGTACTGTCCAAACCAGTGCATAAGACCCCCTAAAAAAGTACGGAGGAACCGAATCGTCCGTACCTTCCGTTTCCATCCATACTGAACAAACCAGTGCCCGTACCTCTCTGAAAAAGTATGGAGGAAACTAATCGTCCGTACCGTCCGTTTCCATCCATTCTGAACAAACCAGTGCGCACAGCCCCCTATAATAATGTGGAGCCAACGAATCGTCCATACCGTACAATCCATTCCCAGTCGTACTGACCAAACTGGTGCACGCAGCTCTATAAAAAG